GAGGATCCATCATCTCAGGCACAGGTCTCTGCCAGCCCAAAGGGGAGCTCCAGAGCCAAGACTGACCATTAGAAGAGTTCCACGTCAGGCAGAAGTGACCAGGGACCTGTAGCAGCAAGACTTTGCTCAAACATTGACTAGAGGCCTCTTTAAGCAGAATGGAGTCCTTATTGAAAGTTGAGGCAGATCCTGAAGGTGCCAACATCTGGAAGCTATCAGACAACCACTTAAAAGTGGTAGTAAGTCCTTTCTCAAAGGGGCATCTGAGAAGATGTCTCTATGTCTGCGACAGTCTACCCCTGGCACCACATGGGTACGCTTCTCTCCATTCTTTTGGGGAGTCTGGTGGGTCTCTGTTCCTGAAGGGAAACTTAACAAAGGTAGGTTTGTGGGATGCACCCATTGCTGTGGTTGGCCTTGAGGCCACAACTGTACTCATGATGTCTTCCACTTCTGGTTCCATTCAATTCCCTCACCCTCATCTGTTGTTTCTGTTGATCCCATGTGGCTCCCATGGTGGCTAAACCCTTCTTCCCAAGGGCTCTGAGCCTCCTATAACCATTGCATTTTTAGGCCAGGGTGGCTTTACTTGTTTATTATTTGCAGTTGGGCAAAGACGTACCAACAGGCAGCCAAGTGGGTCACTGAGTTTCACACATAATCCATCTGCTCTCATTGTGTAAGAGTAGCCCTACTTTTCCAGCCAGTTAGGGTCAATTATCCCTGACAGAATGGTGACTCCTCATCGTGCCTTCAGGCCCCTGGACAGAAAGAAGCCAACATGCCCAGGCAAAAGTGATGAGAGCTTTATTGCATTCCCTGGCAAGGGTAGACTCACTCCAGGGATGGGGGTCTCCAACTTGATGGAGCCCAAAGTTGTAAGGACAAGAAGTACAAGTCCTCCCTGGGAGTCATTGAAAGTGATCGTAAGTGGCTCCACTCCTGCTTTAATTCTTTGATTTCAGACTCATGTATTCTTCCTAGTGGGGGCATTGTGCCATTTAAAGTTTCAGGACTTAGCACACATGCCATGCACTAGAGGATGGTGCCTCAGTCTCATGCATTATTACCTCTGTGATGGTGTTTCAATTGCACTTTCAGCCCACTGTTACCCACAGCCTATCTGGCCAACAGCCTCTGCAGAGTACAGTACATGATGCTACCATGGCTTCATGGTCATGGCCCATTCCTATACCTCTATTCCTAAAAAGTGTGTTCCTCAATCAGATGCTATGCCATCACATGCTATGGGACATGGTGTCCCATACTTGCCATGAGCCCCTGAATAGTTAAAGCTGGCTCAGTCCCTGTGGACAGAAAAAGCAAAGCCATACTTATAAATATCTATTCCTCTAAAAATGAACCACTCTTCCCTCTGAGATGGAGATGACCAAGATGGAAGGGACCAATATATTCCAAGTGACCAACAGATCCAACAGGGAACAGGGCCAACCAGGGACTCAACACTTGTCAGCAGGGCTGGTAGCTTAAAAATTCCGAAGTATGATAGCTGGACTGTCCTTGGTAACTGGGAGTCCATGGGCTCAGCCCCAGGCTGCCCTTCTGTATCTGTTGTCATAAGCACTCCATGTGCTCATCCTGTCTGCACTGGGTGGCCATGGACAAAAGCTTGTCAATGCCATGTGTCCTAACCATTTTGAGTATGTTTTCTATGTGGTTGTTCAGCAGCTCTCTTTGGGGGTGGGGGGGTGGGACATTTTGTGCTGAGCATTAGCATGTGATAGGAAGATTTTCACACTTCGTGCGCACTCCCATAAGTGTGCACACATTCCCAGCCCCTTGGGAGAGGACCAGAAGACATACAGTGCATGTTTGCCATGGTGTTACAGTATTCTTCCCCTTGGGGACCCAGCTGCATCCCCAGTCAGTGGGTTTCAGGTCTGAATATCAGCTGTGCTTTGAAAGCAACTGGGTACAGCATCATGACTTTTTTTTCCTTTTTTTTATTAGCTCATATTTGTGCACATTAATTCTATCATAGGATACAGTGTGTTGTTTCCATATACAATTTGAAATACTTTCATCCAATTGGCCAACATAGCCATCATGTCCTTCTCATAATTGTTGTGTTAAGACATTTATATTTGACATTTAGAAAGATTCACATATACCCTTATAGGAAAAATTATAGGCTTGATCCCCACAATCACCCTCCCTTCACCCATCCTCCCTCCTCCCCTCCCCTCCCTCACCCCTTTCCTGATATTCTTGGACTCCATTTGGATTATAGCTTTCCTATGATAGTTAACAATTAGTGTCATAATAGGGTTGAGTACATTGGATACTTTTTCTTCCATTCTTGAGATACTTTGCTAAGAAGAACATTTTCCAGCTCCATCCATGTAAACAAGAAGGAGGTAAAGTCTCCATCTTTCCTTGAGGCTGCATAATATTCCATGGTGTACATATACCACAATTTATTGATCCATTCATGGGTCGATGGGCACTTGGGCTTCTTCCATGACCTAGTGATTGTGACTTGGGCTGCAATGAACATTCTGGTACAGATATCTGTATTGTAGTGTGATTTTTGGTCTTCTCGATATATACCTAGCAGAGGAATTATAGGATCAAATGGCAGATCTATATTTAGATCTCTAAGTGTTCTCCATATGGCTTTCCAAAAGGGACATATTAGTTTGCATTCCCACCAACAGTATAGAAGTGTTCCCTTTTCTCCACATCTCCTCCAGCATCTGTGATTTTGGGATTTTGTGATATGGGCTAATCTTACTGGCATTAGATGATATCTCAAAGTAGTTTTGATTTGCATTTCTCTGATGATTAGGAATGATGAGCATTTTTTCATATGTATGTAGGCCATGTGTCTGTCTTCTTTGGAGAAGTTTCTCTTTAAGTCTCTTGCCCACCCTGAGCTGGGATCACTTGTTTTCTTTTTGCTAATATGTTTGAGTTCTCTGTGGATTCTGGCTATTAGACCTTTGTCGGAAGCATAACCAGCAAATATCTTCTCCAATTCTGAGGGCTGTCTGCTTACCTTTCTTACTGTGTTCTTGGCTGTGCAAGCATCATGACTTTTTATTGGGCGAACCACTGTGCATTAGTTAGGGTTATCCAGAGAAATAGAACCAATAGAAGACATGTGCACAGTCATCCCTTGATATAGTCAGAGGATTGGCCCCAGGATCCTGTATATACCCAAATCTGCACATATACAGCCTGTGTATATAAGTCAGTCCTTCATATATGTGAGTTTTGCATCCCAGGAATACTGTATTTTTGATCTGCAATTGGTTGAAAAATACCCCCATATAAATGAACCTACTCAGTGTTGTTGAAGGGTATGTGTAATGGTGTATGTATACAGTTGTACCTCAGTATCCATGGAGAATTGGTTGGTTCCAGGCCCCCACTTGCAGATACCAGAATCCATGGATGATCAAGTCCCTTACATGAAATGATATAATATTTGCCTGTGACCTGTGAACATTTGCCCATGTATTTTAAATCATCTCCTGATTTAAATCATCATCATCTAATTACTTATAATTTATAATACAATGTAAGTGCTATGGAAATAGTTGTTATACTATATTGCTTAGGGAATAATGACAAGGAAAAAAGTCTGTACATGTTCACTATAGAAGAAACCATCTATTTTTTTCCTGAATATTTTCAATCTACAATTGGTTGAATTCACAACTGTGAAACCCTTGGATACAGAGGACTGACTCTATATATGATACGTCTGTATATATATGTATGTGTGTTGTTGTGTAAATGTGTGTGTGTGGCCTCCTTAGTTGATCACCTTCCTACATTGATCCCTCCTTAAATTGAACTAATTTTCATAGACCAGACATGCACCACATACACCTATCAGTACAATAGGCCTAGATCCTTATGTTGACCAGTTTGTTACAGTCCCTTGGGTGGCCAACATATATATGTATGTGTATTTGTGTGTGTGTGTGTGTGTGTGTGTGTGCACATAGTAGAACCTCTCCCTCTCTGTACACACACACACACATATATATATATACACACACACATATATATACATAATCATATGATTCAATACCTTACAATACATCTTTCTCTTTCTCCTTCTCTCTCAGAGAAAGAAGAAAGAGAAAGATGTATTACAAGGCATTGGATCATGTGATTATGGAATCTGAGAAGCCCTATGATCTATAAATTGGAGAAGAGGGGGAGTTGGTATTGTAATTTTAAGGCCTGAGGGCTGGGGTGCTCATGATGTATTTTCCAGTCCAAGTCAGAAGACCTGAGAACCAGAACTGCCAAAGGCAGGAGATTGAGGTTCCCGCTCAAGCAGCTAGGCAGAGATTGAATTCCTCCTTCTTCCCCATTTTTTACTCTATTCAGCCTCTCCATTGTGGATTGGATGAGATCTGCCACACCAAGAGGCCATCTGCTTTACACTGTCCACCAACTCAAATGCTAATTTCTTCTGTAATCACCCTCACAAACACACCCAGAAATAATGTTTAACCAGTTATCTGGTCATCCTATGGCCCAGTCATGTTGATACATAAAATGTTAACATAAAATGTTGACACATTAACCACACACATCAAAGAAAATAGGAATGGATAAGCTGAAGTCTGAGGGTGTGTGATAGTTAATGTCTGTGTGTGTGTGTGTGTGTGTGTGTGTATGAACACACATATATGGTAGTCATTAGCCATCCATCTATTTTCCTCCAGGGAAACTTTGCTCTATTAACCATCTCTGTAACTCTTTGGATCAGTGCCCTGGGTTACCATGCTCACCTTGGTGTCACCACCTCTCACCAAGGATAGGTTCTCATATCAGCCAGAAGATGTGTATCCAATCTCAAAGCCCCATCTTAAGACTTTTCTTTTTTTCATTTCCTTACTTAAGTTTATTTATTTATTTTTTTATTAAATGATAACTGTGTACATTAATGCAATTCTGGGGTACAGTGTGGTGTTTACATATACAATTTGAAATATTTTCATCAAACTGGTTAACATAAAAAACGATGGTTAGATGCCACGAAGTAGGTGGCAATGCCTTAACTGTATGTGTGTTGTCAGGCCCAAGGGCCTCTTCCATCCCTGTCAAGGGGAGTGCTAACCTTTTCTCCTTTCATACAACACCTTAAGACTTTTAAGACTAATTCCAGTGATCAGCTTTCCCAAGCATGGTTCTCCAGGAGACAGCTGTTGGGGCAGAGTTAGAAATGTAGATGTTTACTGAGAGTAATACCTCTGGTAGGAAGATGGGTAGGGGGGAGCAGTATGGCATAGGGACAAATTACTGAACAGCCTTTCCAAGCTCATGAGGGAGCACTGGAGCAATAATTGTTGGCTAGAGGAGTCCCATGTTGAGTCTGGTCCTTGTGCCACTGCTTTGCTCAGCCACCAGCTGGAGTAATGATGTCTTTACAAACGTTTAACAATGGCTCACCAGGGGGAATACCCTGATTTGTCGCACTGGTTCACTTCTGTGAGGACTTGCACCATGGCTGATTTCATGTCATCAACAGAAAATATCAATGAATGCAAAGTTGAGAAAAGACACACATGTAATTATCTCTGGTATGAGCAAGCACATACCTGACAGGAGGCCACCCTGAGAAGACTGGATCCCACTCCAAACCCAAGGCTAGATCTGAAGCAGCATACACTGGAGACTGCCAGCTCATCATACTCTGTGGGCAGTGAGTCCTTCCCAGCCGGAATGTCTCAGCAGCTCTTTCCTTTGTCAGCCACACCAGGGACAACATGGTGTGTATGCACTGATCCCCAGGAAAAACTGGAGCACCCATTGAGGTGGAAGAAATGTGTTTCCTTTTTGTCTAAGTATGATGAAGGAAAAAATGAAGGAGGAAAATAAGATGTCGTGTAGAATGAGCAAGAGCTTTGCTTGTCTCTTATGTTATGAATTAATTCCTCATAATAAAGAGAACTAGGGAATCCTTATTTCAATCACCAATAGTCTCTCCTTCCCAACCTTCTACGTGAAGTAGATGCTTATATATTTATACCCTTGGTAAAAAATTGTTTTCATTTGTTCATCCAATTCAAGGAACAGGGGGAAAAGAGGGGGCCATCAAGACAGGAGCTAATATTTCTTATTAGGAAATTTATGTCATTCTTTGCTTGTTTCTCATATCACAATGAGTACTATATATGTACATTCTGTAAGTAAAGAAAATGAGGCCAAGATACATCAAGTAACTTCCTCATCTTATAAAATTCAGTTTAGTTTTCTTCTCCAGGAGGTGAAATCTGAATACCTTAATCCCTCTATGATCACATAAGAACCTACTTATTTCTGGTTTAGCATTTGGCATATTACATTAAAAATATTTATGTGTTTTTCCATCCTACTAGCTGGGGAGCTCTCAGTGGCAGTGACTATCTCCCCAGTGCCTAATATGTCTGGCACATAGTAAAAAAAGTAACTAAGCTAAAATTTGGATCCAGAATTTTATGCTATGAGATCACTGCTCTTCTCTCTGCTATATGTTTTCAAGTGAGTGCACTCACAAGTGCTCATGAGTATCAAAATATAGACTTAGAAATGCAGACGTGCAGGTGAAGAACAAAAATGGCAGGCTCCAGATCTGTGACAAGAAAAAGGACAAGTGACTTTAGCATTTGTTGCTTCAGGCTCATCACTTCCACATTCCCAAATAAGGGCTGTGCCAGCCAATGTCATGGAGATTTGGATATGTACGTGGGCACCAGTGGCCTCCCTGGGCTCAGCTCTTGGTGTAAGGGACTGAGGATTGAGAAAGGACTAACTCATGGGTGGGAAGCTGTCTGCTTTTTTTGAAGTTTGCCTCTTGGTTGTCACTCTGATACCTTCGAGCTGCCCATAAGTTCCTGGGGGGATGGGGGATGGGGGGCTAAGCAAAGGTAGCTTAATTATAGAGGGTGTTATTTACCAGAACTTCAGCTAAATCCATGAAAATAACTTCACTTTAACCCAAGCCAGATTTGATTATGAAGCCTATTTACTGAGTGTTTCCCCTTTTGGCTGTGTATGTTTTGATTTAGGTATATATACTCACCAATTTGAAAAGTAGCTATGTTCTGACACATTTTATATTTTTTAAAGTAATATTGCACATAACACAATTGGGGGGGAGTGGAATACACATTCAACACAAACAAACAACAACAAGAAAAAGGCCTTTGAATTTAGAATAATGGATACCTGCAAGGCAGCAACTTGCTTGAGAGATTTTGCTCAAGTAACTTATAACTATCAGTAGAAACCCCTGGGGATTTACGGCTGTTTTTGCAGAAGCTGTTTGCAGTGAAATAAACAGACAAGTGCTCTATATATCATTTTAAGTAAGACAAATAAAGCTCTGTTTCCACCTTACAACGATGTCATTGTCAGTTATATAAAAATAATTCTGTGTGACTTTTTATGAATTCTTCCCCTGTGCAGAAATACAATGGCCTAATTTTCCACTCCCTGTATTATAAATAAATGGCCTTCTTCAGCAATCTCAGGTCCTCCAAACTATCTCATCCTGAGCAAAGAGCATCCTTCCTACCACTAAGTGCTCACCTGTGGAAAGTGAAAGTCACCATCCACCTTTGGCAGAGCACTCCAATCTTATTAACTGCCTATCTCCCCTCTTGAGCCAATGGCAGCTCTGTGAAGTGATCCATGACCCTAAGGCCATGACAAGAGCAGCCAGAACCTCAGCCATACGTGGACTTGACTCTTGTTAAAGATATAAAAGTAGTTGAATCACCAATTAATTAGCATAGATGAACTAAGTATAAATAACATGTCCTATTTGGTGAAGTTTTTATCTGGGATTTTGTTCACATGACAAAAATCAATAAATGGTACACTAATTTCAAGTTATTTTGAAATATGAAGCAAAAGGCTTGATTCAAAATTTGAACATTTAAAAGAGAGAATAAATGTATATATTCACAGCTTTCATGTTCTTTTAAGTAACTTTTAATTTTAAGTTACTAATAATTTTAACCTTTATTGAGGTATAATTAACATGCTGAAAACTGAACATATATTTAAAGTCTACAATTTCATATGTTTGACACAGGCATATCCCTATGAAATCATCATTGCAGTCAACTTAATGAACACATCCATCACCCACAAAAGTTGCTTGTGTCCGTTTGTAATATTTCCGTTCCACTCCTTCTGACCACTCCTCTACTCCAGTCCCTGGCAACTCATTTATCTGCTTTTCTTACTATCAATTTGTTTATGTTTTGAAGAATTTTATGGGAAATTGAGAAGATGACCGACTGGTAGCAACCCTCAGCAGAAGCTCCTGAGCAGAGGAAGAAAACTGGATGGAATCAAACTCTATAAAGCCAAAGACAGGGAGCTGATCCAAGAAAGAAGTTAGGCAAGCTGTAACTGTAAGGAAGAGTATTCAAGAAAACAAATTATAGGTACAAAGCCTATCAACTAGAGGATAGGACACCCCTCCGCTAAGTAGGGGCCCTGCCGCAGGCTATCTGTGAATTAGCAGGGGAAAAAAGACTTCTCATTTTACCTTGCTGGAGAGAGCCACTAAACTCCAGGTCTCTTTCTCTAGGGTAGTCCCACTTATGAACCTAGACACCACAACACCAGGCATAAAATAGAACAGATATTTTCCTCCACAAGTCCAAACTTCTAGTCCACCCTTTCTTTCCCCCTCACATGGCGGTCTGAAGTTCTGCCCCCTGCAGAGCACAAAGTGTTTGGTCTTGTCCTGAGAGAATTAGGTATGGTGTGGACCACCAACCATCAAGACAGAATCTGTGACTAATGGGTAAGAAAGAAGGTGTGGGAAGAAAAGGACACTCAAGACAGAATCTGTGACTAATGGGTAAGAAAGAAGGTGTGGGAAGAGGAAGAGTACTCCCCTAGTTATGACTATGCCTAGCCACTGATAGTGTTGACCCTTGTGTCTAGTGGGACAGGGTGCAGAACCTCCGGCTCTGATGGAACCCACAGCAGAAGAATGGTTGCCCCATGTGGACTGAGTTCAGCAGACAGGGCTCGTCCCCAGCCCCTGCTAGGCCTATGAGCAGAGGCTTGATAGTCATGGACTGTGACCTGAGAGCACAGGTGTGGTACCCTGATTCCAACAGAACCCTCGAGCAGTGGCTTACTTAGTGTAAACCAAGACCTGAGGGCTAGGGTGTGGTTCACTATCTCCAGTGAGGCTGGTGAGCAGAGGCTTACCAGGTAAGGACTGGGACCTGCGGGCGGAGTGCAGTGCCCTGACTCTAACAGAGCCTGTGAATAGAGGCTTGCCAGGCAGTGGACTGAAACTGGTAGACTGGGGCGTGGTCCCTTCCCCTGACTCCAACCAATCTGGCAAGCAGAGGCTAGCTGTGTGTGGACAGAGACTGGAGGGCAGGCCCAGTGCCCTGACTCCAACAGAGCCTGCAAACAGAGGCTTGCCAGGTAGTGGACTGAGACTGGCAGGCAGAGGTGTGGTCCCCTTACTCCAACTGATTTGGCAAGCAGAGGCTAGCTGGATGTGGACAGAGACCAGTAGGTAGGGGCATGGCCCCTGGCTCCAATTGGGCCTATGAGGACAGAAGCAGACAACAGTGTGGACTGAGTCTGGCAGGTGGGAGTGTAGACCCCTGGTTCCAATTGTGCTCTTGGAGACCCTTGAATCCCTCTCTGTTGGGGAGGGTTTGCACTGCCTAAGATAATTTGGTTGGAACCTGTGTCTGGGGCTGTCCACTCTGGGACATTCTGAGGTTGACCTTTGAAGTTCTGTAGCAGAAAATAACTGAAGGGTAGGGGTTAGGTGCCACAGCTGTTTGTATTTCTTCACAGTCGAGATTTAAACCTAATACTGTGGTTTCTTAGGATAGGGTAGAGGTTGGCTGATCAAATCAGAGATAGCTTTCACTCTCTTACCAAGTAGGTCCTCAGAGTCTCTGGCCAAAACTCTGAAAGAAACCTTTGTAAGATTGTAGGAGATAAGCCACAATTACAAAGCCTAGTGCTTCGGTAAGGGGCTATCTCTACTACCTGGGAACCCCAATTCAATCTCACCCTACCAGTTTTAATAACCAAACAATGGGAAATAAACATGGCGTGGACCCAACAGAAGAACTCTGGCAACATGAATGGCCAGAGTAGATCA